CATCATCATCATCATCGTCATCATCATCATCATCATCATCATCATCATCATCATCATCATCATCATCATCATCATCATCATCATCAGCACCCCCCTCCTCGCCCTCCCCTACCGCTCCCCTTCCCCGACCTCTTTCCCGTCCTCCTCCTCCGCCTCCTCCTCCTCCTCCTCCTCAGCATCATCAGCATCATCATCATTCATCATCAGCAGCAGCATCATCAGCAGCATCAGCATCATCAGCATCATCAGCATCATCATCATCATCATCAGCATCATCAGCTTCAGCAGCAGCAGCACCATCATCCTCATCATCCTCATCATGATCATCATCATCATCATCATCATCATCATCATCATCATCATCATCATCATCATCGTCGGCATCATCACCACCACCACAAACAACACCACCACCATCATCGTCATCATCGCATTCATCATCGGTATGAACATCGTCATCATCAGCATCATCAGCATCATCATCAGCATGATCATCATCATCATCATCAGCAGCAGCAGCATCAGCATCATCATCATCATCAGCATCCTCATCAACATCATCATCATCATCATCAGCCACAGCATCAACAGCATCATCATCACCAGCACCATCATCGTCATCGTTATCATCATCGTCATCGTCGTCATCCTCATCATCATCAGCATCATCATCAGCATCATCATCATCATCAGCATCGTCATCCCCCTTCAATATGTGTCCTTACAAATAACTCCTACCTTTCGCACCCCAAGACGTGTCGGTGGGGCAGGCCGCGAGTTTCGCCTGAGACGTCCTCACCACTCACGATCCTGAAGCTTGAAATTTACATTACGGACGGAGGGCTCTCGCCTTAGCGCCACGCAAATTCGTCTCAAGAACTAGCATCAGCCTCAAGGACAGAGGGCGAGACGTTTTTCAACCTGTGGCGTTCGCCGTGGCGCCACGCACATTCGTTCTAGCAGTCTGACAATGTCAAACATGACGGCTGGCCGTTCTCAGCATGTGGCTCTCGCCTTAGCATCGAGTTGAAGGGTTGCGACGGTTTCAAGGATGGAGGGCGGCTCGCTTTCGAAATATGGCTCTCACCTGATCGCCACACACACACACACTCCTCTTAAAAGGTCGGAAGGCGGCTTCTTCTTGAAATGTGTTTCTCGCCGTAGCGCCGCGCACATCCGTTCTAAGAGTTCGTACTCCTGTCGATCGTACGGTTGAATACCCAGGAATCGCAAGATCTGGGATTGCCAGGACGCACCAGCTCGTTCATTGGCGGTGCTGGAGAAAGGTAGTGTGCTACGGTTTGGGATTTACATGACGCAAACATGATCGACCCACGAACCCGGAAAGGAATATAGAAATGTAAGGCATGGCAACGTTTCAAAGACACCTGATTGGGCGCCAGGCAAATGCAATGCTGAATGTATCGATCTTGCTGTACTGTGCCGAGGGCTGTGCTGTGCTACGCCGTGCTGAACTGCGATGTGCCATGCCGCGAGTGTGCTCTATATAGCGTTGTGGATCAACTCCTCCCTGGCATCCGAGTCCTGACCGAACTGATCTGGATCTTAAGCTCGAGCTGCCTAAGCAGATGGTAGCTGCCCCAGAACTAATCGACAGAGGGGACATGCCAGGAGGACGCGCCGCGGAACTTCCCAAGGGACGCGCCAGGCGACGTGCCAGGAGACGTGTCATGGGCACGCACCGCGGAACGTGCCAAGGGGACGCGCTATAGAACGTGCCTATGGACGTGCCGCGGGACGTACCAGGGGACGCGCCGCGCGAAGTGCCAGGTGGACTCGCCACGGAACGCACCAAGGAACGTGCCAAGGTGCAATGTTGAGTGTATCGATCTTGATGTACAATGCCGACGGCTGTGTTGTGCTGGGCCGTGCTGAACTGCGCTGTGCCATGCCGCGATCGTGCTCTATGTAGCGTTGTGGATCGAGTCCTCTTTGCATCCGAGTCCTGACCGAACTGATCTGGATCTTAAGCTCGAGCTGCCTGAGCAGATGGTAGCTGTCCCAGAACTAATCGACAGGGGGACATGCCAGGAGGACGCGCCGCGGAACGTCCCAAGGGACGTGCCATGGGCACGCACCGCGGGACTTGCCAAGGGGACGCGCTACGGAACGTGCCAATGGACGTGCACCGCGCGATGTGCCAAGGGGACTCGCCACGGGACACTCCGCGGAACGTGCCAAGCAACATGCCAGGCTGCAATGCTAAGGGTATCGATATTGATGTACCTTGCCGAGGGCTGTGCTGTGCCTGTGCGACCTGGACACGTGAAAACACGCGTTTCGCTCAAGACGTTCTCAGCACATCCTCATGCTAGACATCCGCCTGGGCAACCTGGACACGTGCAAACAAGCGTCTCGATCGAGACTTCCTCGATACATCCTGATGCTAGACATCCGCCTGGGCGACCTGGACACGTGAAAACAAGCCTCTCGTTCGAGACATCCTCAACAAATCCTCATGCTAGACATCTGTCTGGGCAACCTGGCGGCGTGAAACCAAGCGTCTGGCTCGAGACATCCTCAAGACCTGGGCACGTGAAAACAAACATTTCACTTGAGAGATCCTCAGAATTCAGGTCCCCAGGAGAGGACAATCTATAACACAGAACAAGCGCTTCGCTCGAGACATCCTCAACAAATTCTGAAAAACAAGCGTTTGGCTAGGGATATCCTCAAATTTCTCATTCGCCGGCCCACCTCGACCTCGATATTTATCGCAAAAGAAGTTCGCCGGCCCACCTCAAGTCAAACCCGGGGGGAAACAAACTAAAATAGAACCCTGGGCCTAAGCCCTTTCCGGGAAAAAAGACATTGATCCGCGGCGCTAAAGTCCAAAGAATGGTGCTTTGGCACGATTGAGAATTCTCAGACGGTTATCTGCAAATGGATCACTTCCGCCACTGAAGAAAAAAATTGCTGGGACCTGTGAAAGGAGAACTTGAAGGGAGGGTGATTGCAATATCCGTGATGACGCTTGGATTTACACTGGTCACCCTCTTCCTCCTCCTCCTCCTCATCCTCGCTCGCGCCGGCTAGGCATCGAGGAGATAGCACCTCCACAGGGAACCCGCCTCGATGGTGGGGCGGAGGGGGGACATCCTCCTCCTGACCCTACCAGAACACATTCCCTACCATCACCCTCTACCTCCTCCACCCCAACCTTCCCTCACCATCTCTTGCTACACACCCTGGATTGAACGAGTAGCCACAGACCTCAGGTATCAAGCACCCTGAGATGCTTCAAAGCTTCTGGGATTCTGGGAGAGGCTTCGGAGATTCTGGAAGAAACCTGGACCATTAGATCCTTTAAGACAAGCCTGAGAGCCTTTAGGGGAGGACTCAGCGACTCAGAGCCCACGCATGTATCGGAACTAAGAACCTGAGGGACTTGCGTTCAACTCGTTTGGAGAGGGCGTCTGAGAAGTCTCAGCGCAGGAAGTCCCGCGCGAGTGCGCGACTTGGGAATAAATTGTCAAGACGTATCAGGCGGGAGCCGCTGTTGTTGTAAACCGGGGGCCAGGAGCGCAGTTCGGTGGCCCCTTACTTTCCTTTGTAAAAAAACCGGCTACAAACCCCAGGAGAAGCACTTGCATTGAAAAATACAATGGTTACCGGACGGGGGATCAACAAGAGCTATTCTTTAGAACTGAGAACTCAACAACTACAACAACAACAACAACAACAACAACGACAACAACAACAACAACAACAACTACAACAACAACAACAACGACAACAACAGCCACAACAACAACAACCACAACAACAACAACGACAACAACAACAACAACAACAATAACAACAACAACCACAACAACAACAACAACAACAACAACAACAACAACCACAACAACAACAACAATTACTAGCACGTGGGGACACTCCGTTCTCACCAGTGCCAGGGTTTTCATAGGAGGCGGGCAATACCCCCACTTTGTGGGGGGGCCGGTTCAAGCTCTACCAAATTTCCAAACGACTCTTCGCCACCACCCACACCCAGCTTCCCGCCCTATGACGTTCGGACACTTCACTTCGTGGCATGCGGACGACCGTGGCTACTATTCAGGGCCCCGCGGCCGACGACGACGGCGTGCGCGCGCGAAGAAAAAACGAATGTGTCCCGCATGGTATTATTTGACAGGGATGATGGCCCTGGCAGGTGCGCAACCGTTGTTGCAGAAGTTCGAAAAAGTTGCTCGCAAAAGCCCGTTTGACAGAAATGTTTAAAAAGTGTTGGGTTTCCTACGAATCCGCAAGAGCGCGCGGGATGAGATTTTGACAATTTTTTGTTGAAAAACCATTGGTTTTTTGATGTTTTTATGTTAAAATCGCTACGAACACTAAGGTTTTGGAAGGATTTCGTCTTGCGCGCGCGAATGTCCACTTTACCTTATTTTTTGCAAGGGATTCTTGAAATTTGATTATATTAGAACAAGAAATGTCATTTTATAGTGTTTTTTGCAAGGGAAAACGGATTACAACAAAACAACCGGATCTGTACACATCGTTTTCCTGAGGCTTCCTCACGAAAATGATGAAAATGTAGCTGCGGCCTAGGCGGCGCAGGGGGGGCGCGCACCAGGGGGCCCAACAATAATTATTCTT